GGGGGGCGGGTTTATAAGGTATACCCTTTGGTCGGTTGATGGTGCATGGAGGGGATTGGAACCATGGCAATGAAACGATGTATGGTGGAATGAATGTAAAACTAAAGTTCTCCCATGTAAAATATCATATAATTCACAATAAAACATGGAAAAAATAAATAAATAAATAGCAATTGAAAAAAAAAAAAGCATCTTAGACTGCGAGAACAAGCAAATCTGTGTTGGAAGAAGTACAGCCAGAATGCTCCTTAGAAGTGAGGTGGCAAACTTCATCTCTCATATTTCAGACCTGTTTTCAAGGTAGAGAAGACATCATGCTCGGTAAAGTGAAGGATCAGTCCCAAAAAAGGAAGACTTTCAATAACACGGTTTGGCAAAGTAGCAGCAGCAATAGGTTCAAGCATAATAACAATTGTCAGGATGGTGCAGGACTGGAGAGTGTTTCCTTCTGTTGTGCACAGGGTAGTTAGGAGTCAGAATGAACTTCATGGCACCTAACAAAAACAACAATTTACTACCAACTATAAAGAAAGTTCTTACTTAGGGTTGTATAGTGAAAACTAAGCATAGAGACTAAGGAATCATGTAATATACTAAGTTTATGTTTTAATAAACTTAGCTCTGCCAGTAACTTGAGATTTGGTCAAACCATACCTTATACCCGAACCTCAATAATGTGCAGAATGGGCTGCTAAAGTTAAGGATAAAATATGCTTTTCAATTATCAATGTATTGACGCTCAGTCCTAAATATGCACTTTACTGACGTTTTGTGTTAAATACGATGGGCCCTGAAGCAAGCATCCCTCCTTTGCATCCAGTGTAATGTTAAACTTTGTCATATAAAAGGCACTGAAAGGAGCATCTCTTCCTGGTTTTGACAAACTTCTGTTTCTATCCACTATGTAGCTGCCAGTAGTGGGCTGGAGGTGAAAGAAGGAAGAGGGGATCCAGAGGCTCTTATTCCCATTGAGTTTCAGTGGCACCTGCCAAAGATGGGTTTCCCATTGAGAGTCAATGTTATCTCTGCAGACAGATTTCAGTGAATCACACAGACATCCAAGGCATAGGTTTCCCAGCTTGGTCTATGTACACTCTTCATGTGGTGTTTTCTTCCAGCCTTGGCATCCAAAAGTGAATTTCCTGCTTGCCATTATAGCCATAGTTCCTTGCCCACCAGCCTTTCCTACCAACACCCCAGTGAGAGACCCAAAGTTGCCAGCTCCAGCTGAGTTTTTTGCTGGCAGTCTATATATGGATACTTAGACTAGTTCTTTCCCAAGGAAGCCCAAAGATATTCTCTACCACCCAGATTTCAGAAGGTGGCTCACCTTCTAAATGTGTTTCTTCCTTGGATACTCTCACTCAATGCCCTGATATTCTTTCGATATCACTTTACCACTGCATAATCCATACTTGATATACTCAGTGATTGAATGCGATGTTTTCCCTTTCATATTTCTGTGTGGTTTATCTCCTCATTGAATCCTGGCTGACATGATATGAAAAGTGCTTAATATAATGACATCCTTATAGGCATATGATAAAGAGTACATTTAAACTATACAATCAACATTTAATGAACAAGAAAATCATAAGAGATCATTTACACTCAGGCTGGAGTGAAAAAGAAAACTGAATATTATAAAGCATATCTTCAATGATCAGCAGTAACCAATATCATTATGCTACATACGAAGAGTATTTTAATATTGATCCAAATTCTAGGCTAATGCCTTTTATTGGCTATAAATGTTTTCAGATAAACAATATTTATTGAATGGGGATCAGTGAAGTGTGGGGACAGAGTATGGGATGAGAGACACTCTGAATCCTAGCCTTGTCAAAGTTTATGTCTCTTCTACAGATCAAGAGGGCTGGACTACATTGAGTTTATTATTTCTACCTATAGCACTCATTTATTCTGCTTAATCATTAGAAGTCACTTTTTTGTTCCAAAGTTTCCTCATGGCAGTTTTAACCTCAGTATTTCTAAGGGTATAAATTAAAGGATTTAACATAGGAGCCACCATAGTATAAAAGACAGCCACAGCTTTATCTATGGGCAGAGTGGTCACTGGGCGCAGATACACAAATATGCAGGGCACAAAGAATAAGACAACAACTGTGATATGAGAGACACAGGTAGAGAGGGCTTTGCGCCTCCCCTCCAAGCTGTGGGTCCTTAGGGAACGCAAGATAACCACGTAAGAGATCATCAAGAGGATAAAGTTTAACAAGCATATGAATCCACTGTTGGCAGCAACAAAGAGACCAAGGATGTGAGTGTCCATGCAAACAAGTTTCAACAAAGGATATAAGTCACACATGAAGTGGTCTATGACATTGGGGCCACAGAAGGGCAGCCAGACTGTGAAGAGGATCTGAATGGTTGCGTGGAGAAATCCTCCAGTCCAGGCCACTCCCACCAGGAGAATGCACAGTCTGTGGTTCATGATGGTCATGTAGTGCAGGGGTTTACAGATGGCCACATAGCGGTCATAGGCCATCACTGTCAAGAGGATTATCTCAGTAGCACCAAAGATATGTTCTGCATAGACTTGAGCCATACACCCATTAAAGGAAATAATTTTCTTCTCATGAATGGAGTCCACAATCAACTTAGGAGCAGAAGAGGAAGAATAAATTGTGTCGATCAAAGAAAGTTGTGACAAGAAGAAGTACATGGGGGAGCTCAGAGACTGGCTGCTAGTAATAGTAACAACAATAAATAGATTTCCTGAGAGTGTTACTATATATAAAATTAAAAACACCACAAATATTGCTTTCTGCATCTTTGGGTTCTGTGTAAGACCTATTAAAATGAATTCAGTCACATTCCTGTTATTTTCCATTTATATGCTATTGGTGATAGAAACTTCAAGAAGAATTTTTTTACCTGAAAAAAATAAAAATAACACCATAGAAGAATCAAACAATCCAAAACTCTGCCCTTTCACAGTATCCTACACTTCTCTCAGATGATTTTTCTTTCCCCTAGACTCTGGGAATTGTTGTTGTTGTTGTTAAGTGCCGTGGAGTTAGTTCCAACCCATAGCAACCCTGTATAGGGTTTCCGAGGAGCAGCTGGTGAGCTTGAAACCGCTGACCTTGCAATTCAAGCGGCTTTGCAGTCTGGCGCATTAACCCACAGCACCACACCAGGACTCTGGGAATAGGTACCTCAAATCTTCTCTTAATAAACGTTCATGGTCTCTTATTATTCTGACATTAAAAACCATTCTTATGAATCTAAGAATATCCAGATAAAAGGAACAGTATTTCCTAGTATCAGTGTAATATTTGCAAATTTTCACAGGAACATCAGCATAAGGGTGTAATATATAGGCATTTGTCATTTTGTTGTGCTTCACCTTATTGCATTTTGCAAATATTTCATTTCTCACAAATGGGCGATGTGGTAATTTGCCAAAATGTGGCAACCCTATGTCCAGCGAATCTTAGCAGCAAAAATTTTCCAACAGTCTCTGTGTCACATTTTTATAATTATCACAATATTTCAAACTTTTTTATGATATATTGCATACTTAATAGACTACAGTAGATGCTGGGGACAGCATACGCAGACCCTGGGTTGATCAGTGGCAGACCCATTAAACCACCTCTGAATATAATCAGTTTAACCCAGATGCTCTCCTCCCTCCTGAAAGTATATAGGAATAAGATAATTAAGAACAACGTAGCATTTTAGGTATAGATAAATGAAGCCCGGTGCCTGAGATCTTGCTCACAAACAAAAGTTTGCAAAGTGTACAGAGACAGCTTGGCTCCTTTCAGGAA